CAATCTGTGCCTTCAAGCAACAAACTCTCCCCTGGAGTTGCTCAACCCCCGTATCCAGGGGAGGGAGCAGCGACTCCCCTCTCCCGGGAGTCCCAAGGCAGACCTGGGAGCACCAGGCCTGGGGACTGCACACCCCTAGTCCTCACGCTGATCCCTAGGTCCCTTTTGTCTTGAAGCAGTCTCCTTACTGTCTGGTTTTTCAATGATCGCAATAATTTTTGATGTCCTGCTTTCAAAAGTGATTCGGTAACCTAGTCCACTTGCTCTGCTTCTCCACCGAACCAAGTTTCCCTCCTCTTCACAGAAGCCGAGAAACACTCTGCCTAGAGCAAAGCTGCCATCTTCCCCTGACTGTTTTCTTTCACACCTTGGTTGTCCGAGGTCCATGCAGTTGGATTTTTCTGGCAGTTCTGGTTGTTAATTGATTTTAGATTGGTTGTTATCCTCATTTTGGTTGTGTGAGGAAGCAAAGGGTTTCTTCCTACCATCTTGGCTGGAACCACCACAGATTTCTATAGCCAGAGTTTTTGAGGCTTTATTTCCCTGTGCCGTAACCCTGGATTGTGCGGTCTCTCTCACTCCCAAGTTGTTCCTCCCAGCTTATGTGCACGCAAATGTAGGATATCCTGGTCTGCAAGCTGCTCTCTGGTCCACCCCTGCCTGTGAGCTGCCACTTTGTTTTGGGTCCTTGCTGCCCCAGCTTCCTGTTTCTGCCCAACCTATCAGTCTGGATGAATGTTTTTTTAACTCCTTGGTTGTCTGACTTCCATATAGTTTGATTTTCTGGCAGTTCTGGTTGTTTTTTGTTTTTAAATTGCTTGTTTTTCTTTTGGTTGTGCAAGGAAGCGAAGCATATCTATCTATATCTGCATCTTGGCTAGAACTATTTGGGGAATTTTTCATCCATCTTTTTGTTGTTGATTTCTAGTTTAATGTTGTTGTAGCCAGGGACGTATTTTGTATGATTTTAACTTTTTAAAATTTACTGAAGTGTGTTTTATGGCTTAGAATATAGTCTACTATGGCGAATGTTCCATAAGCACCTGAAAAACTGTGTAATTTGCAATTGCTGAATGGAGTGCTCTATAAAAGTCAATCAGGTCAAATTGATTGATATTGTTTTTTCAAGTCTTCTGTATTCTTACTGATTGCCATGAAAACATATCACAGATGGGATGGCTTAAACAACAGAAATTTATTTTCTCACAAGTCTGGAGCCTGGAAATTCAAGGTCAAGGTGTTGGCAAGTTTGTTTTATCCCTTCTCTCCTGTTGTAGACAGCCATTTTCCCCCTGTGTATTTTCATGGTCTTTCCTCTTTATGTGTGGATTAGGGCCCCACTTTTATTAATCTCATTTAACCTTGATTACCTCTTAAATGACTTATCTCCAAATATAGTCATATTGGAGGTTGATGCTTCAGTGTATGAATTTTGGTGGTGACACAATTCAGTCTACAACACTAATTTTCTATTTAACTTATATCATTGATTACTGGAAGAGGAGTGCTAAAGTCTCTGACTATATTGTGGGTTTATGTATTTCTTTTTTCAGTTCTATCAATTTGCAGTAGATTTTTGGGATCTGATTTTTGCTCATCTGAAGAAGTACTTAATGGTAGAGTTATCCAATTTAAGTTATCAGACCTATATTTTGGGGAGTTGTTTAGCCCTGGACAGAATTAAAATATATAAATTGGGCCAGTTATTAATTCAGTAAGAATTTTATTTATTTTCAGTCTTAGTTTTTAATTACTGTAAAATATACATAACAAATTTTACCATCTTAACTATTTGTAAGTGTATCATTTAGTGGTATTAAGTACATTCACATTGTTATGCATCTACTTTCAGAATTCTTTTCATCTTGCGATACTGAAACTTTTACCAGTTAAACAATTCCTCATTCTTCTCTCCCCTAGCCCCTGGCAACCACCATTCTACTTCCTTTCTCTATGAATTTGACTACTTAAGTACGTCATAAAGCGTACTCCTGCAGTATTTATCCGTGTGTGTCTGGCTTATTTCCCTCAGCATAATGTTCAAAAGATGTAATCACATAGCATGTGTCAGAATTAACTTCCTTTTTAAAAGTGAATAGATACAAAGGGAGGGATTTTAAAAACCAGAATTTTCTTTTGGAGGTCAGGCCCATCTTAGTAACTGGCAACAGTTATTCCAGTTGCTTGACAAAAAACTATAGAGTCATCCTTGACTTTTCCATTTGTTCATAGTCTATACCTAGTCAGCCAGCAGATCCTGCCTGCTGTACCTTCCAAACATCTCCCAACTCTGACCATCCGTACCTAAACCACTCTGGTCCAGGCCATCATCATGTCTTGCCTGGATTATCACTATAGCTGCCTTACTTGTCTCCCTTCTTCTATATTCACCTTCTAGTGATCTCTCCTCAATTTAGCAACCAAAGTAATCCTTTGAAAACATGGCTGTTCATGTGATACTTCTACTTAAACCCCTCAAAAGCATCCCATCATTCTCAGAGGAAATGTTCAAGTCCTTTTGAAGGCGTATGGGGCTCTACTGTATTTTCTCCCCCACCTCTTTACCTTATATCCTACCTGTCTGCCTTGTGCTAAAAGTTGCCTTGTAGCCTTACTACTTTTTTAATCATGTTGAGCATTTTCTTGTCTCAAAGCATTTGTATTTGCTATTTCTTCTGCCAGGAATACTGTTCCTGCAGATATCTGCCAGACCTTCTTCCTTAGGACTACACTCAAATTTCACATTATTAGAAGGGCCTTCTAACCAACCGTATGTAAAATAGCACTTCTCTTTTCTTCTAGTACTATGTTTTCCACTAAACCAGGATACGCTAACTTATGCTGAAATAGCAAAGAACTCCATATAGCAAGGGTTTGTTTCTCACTGATGGTATCCCTCCATTGCAAGTCACTTGGGAGGTCTGCTTCATACTATCTTTAACTCCAGGATCTGGCTGATAGTGTGGCCACCATCTTGAGCATTGGCAGAGGGAAATACCATTCACTGGCTCTTTGAGTATGTGCCTGGAGATAGTGTCTATCATATTGACTTGGTAAAAGTGATTTATGTGCCATACCTAAGTTCACTTAGGGATGGGGAATGGGTATATGTCAGTCCTATCATGTATCCTAAAAGAGACCGGGAAATCTATGGTGGGTGACATACCCACACTCTTTACCCCACTTAATTTTTCTATATTATTTATTTCCATCTGACACAATACATATTCACCTTGCTTTGTATATTTTCTTTTCTCTCCTGTCTAAACTGTAAGTACTACAAAAGGGGAGGGGGACTTTGTCTATCACTGCTGTACTCCAGGGCCTACGATAATGCATGGTCAAGAATAGCTTATTAATTTTAAAGAATGAATGAGAATACTCAAGCAAACCATTCATTTGGTGACATTTAAGCCAAGTTGGGAGTGTGGAGCAGGGAGGTTTGAGGAGAGGGGATGAGACGGTATGAGATAAGTTGGAGAGCAGACTTTCTAGAGAAAAGCAGTAGAACTACTGGTCAGCGGAGAGTCAGTTTGAGATTTGAGACTGTGTACCTACTGTAAAATCTGGTAGTTCAGCTATGTGATTTTTCCTAGTAATGTTGAGTTACTCAGGAGCTGGCCTGGAAGAGGCAGCTGTGAATGATGGAACCCATTTCACAAGGATAGTTGGAAGCCCAAGTTGAAGAAGGAAACATGATCCTAGTTGCTCCTACATCACCCCTGCTGCATCTTTGGTTCTGTCAGAATAATGGAGGAAGAGCTTGTCTTTACAAGAAGCCCATTCTCCTGGGGTGGGGTGATTGTGGTGATAGAAGCAGTTTTTCCTATAGTCATTTTTTATTTTGTTTACTTCTTATAACACTTTTGAGGTAGCTTATCTTCATTTTACAGGTGAGGAAAACTGAGGATTAAATTGCTTAAGGTAGAATTTAGGTTGGTTAAGTTCATAGCCATGGTGCTCTGCTATAGTTTTAAGGTACATTTATTGTTTCTCCTATACTTCTTGAGGCAGTGGGGAGCTCTGTTAACTTTCAGATTCTGTGGGGCCTTGATTGTGTCTCAGTCATGAAGACAGTTTATATCCACTTATGGTGATAATTTAGATGTTGCAGGTCCTTACCAGAGAGGAAACACTTGGGCTAGTTCAGTGACCACATTGCCACCTGTAATTAGTAAATTGACTCTCAGGGAATTTCTTGTGAAATCTGTAAAAGAGTCCCTAACATGAGCTGAGAATGTGTCCATCAATGATACTGTTCTATGGTCTTGCCTGTTGATGATCTGAACATTTCATAAGTGCAAGGTGGTATGCTAGACTTTATTGCCAGTTCAGGAATCTTTAATGTAGTAGGAGGTCAAAACAGGTACAAAACCCTGAATATTAAAGTAGTGCCTGGAAACAAGAGTACAGAGTGTGGGGGGAAAAGCCCCTTGGGCTAAAATGCTTTATTGAGACAGATGAAAGGAAGTAGAAATGAGCACTAATTTGAAGGGTGCATAATATTTAGAAAACGCTCTAAATGGAAAGCCAACCTGGGCTTCAGTCATATTTATGGTGGAAAATCTCAGTAAGCTACTATAGTCAGTAATGTTAGCACTTTTAACCACTTTAAAATTTTTTTTGTGTGTGTATATATATGTGAATTCTGCACATGCTAAAGAGCTAACTGGTCAATTTGATAGGACTGAAAATAGAACTTCTATTTCTTTTACATTTTGATGACCATTTTCTGAAAGGTATTTTATGGAAGTTACTGTCTATAAACTTGGTTTAGTCTAATAGGAGAATCAACTGACAGCAAAGCCCTTGCCAGTAAATTCCACTTGTTTTGCAAGTGTAGATGTTTTGAAATATATGTTAATGAGAACTAAATTCCAGAGTCTGTAAAGTTTGTCTTCTTTTTAATTTTTTAAAAAATGAATTCTCTTGTTTTTCACTCGTGGGTTTTTAAATCTTAGGAACAATCATTCTCAAAGTAATTTTCTTTTTCCCTCCAGACAAGGCACCTCTGTCTAAGAGCCTTTTACTGGTCCCCAGTTCCCTGTCTCTCTTGCTGGCCCTTCTGCCGCACTGTCAGAGGTTCTTTCTGTATGACCTCCAAGCAGTCAAGGATGACTTCCAGGTGAGCTCTGTTTCATTGGTCTTTGGGAAGAGAGAAGGCAGATTTTTCCCCTTGATTTGCCTTTTCTTTCTGCTCTTCTTAGTCCCTCAAAGCCTCTAAATTTGTAAGAAATACTAATACTACTTATTAATATTCTATTAACAAGTAAGTTCTCTAGTTTTATTTACTGATATCTTCAGCAAAGCAGATTATAATGAAGCAATTGCAGGACTCAGCACTATCTCTTTTCAGTTTCACTTTTTATGCTTGGAAATGCAATTTATAATTTAAGAGAATTAAAATGTTAAATCTGTTTATTAATGATTAGTATCATACTTAACATTTTCAAAAACCTGTATCAATTTGAATATTGATTGGATAATCTAAGCTCTTTCAGCTCTAACAGATTGTGAATCTATTAATTACTTTTACAGTAGTAGTTAATCCAAAGAGGAAATTTCTGTTGGGTTTTTGCTTCTTTGAGTTGGAGGGTTAGTGCAAACCTGCTACCTCTTTGCTAAATACTTAATTATCCATATTAAGTACAATAATCCATCATAACATACAAGTATACATTAATGATAAGTGAAATAGGGACAAGTATAGGATGGGATAGCCCTGGAGAGCCATAGCGATATGAATTTTCCATTTGATGTGAAAGAAAGGATGACAATTTATTAGCAGTAGAGGAAGAAGGGCATTTTACTTCTTGAAGCAATATAAAGTTTGGCCCTTAGGTGTACTGTATAGAAGACATGGTTGGAAACTAGTACAAGGTTAGACTAAATGAGGACAGGAGAGATAGCTGGTAAAGGTCATTATTTTGCAAGCGTGAAATCTCCCAAATTTTTACACTTAAGGCATGTCAACAGTGCAACAGTGGCATATAGGGGAAAACTGAAGTGACTGGCAACAAGGCAAGTGCTGGGAGACAGCTTCCTCCTTGGCAGAACTCCAGAGGCCAAGCAACAGCACTGTCCCCTCTCCAAGCCCTCCCTGACACAGAGCCCAGATCAGTGACACAGGTTGCCCTGTGTTGGTGATTACCAAAGGCTCTGCCACATACAACTTTTAGGTATGCTTTCCTACAATAGGCCACACTACTAAGACAGGGAGTCAAAGTAGCTCTACCTAATACATAGAAACACAGGGAGGATGCCAATAGAGGAGACAAATAAATATGGCCCAAATGAAAGAATAAAACTCCAGAAAAAAGAACTAAACAAAATGGAGCATATCACATGTAGAGTTCAAAACACTGGTTATCAGGATGCTCAAAGAAATTGGATACTGCAGCAGTATAAAAAAAAGACCCAGGCAGAAATGAGGTGAAATAAAGAAAAATCTACAGGGAACCAACAGTGGAGGGGATGAAGCCAGGATTCAAATCATTGATTTGGAACATAAGGAAGAAATAAACATTCAACTAGACCAGCAAGAAGAAAAAACAATTCTGAAAAACAAGGATAGGCTAAGTATCCTCTGGGACATCTCCAAACCTGCCAATATCTGAACCATACAGGTGCCAGAAGGGGAAAAGGAAGAGCAAGAAATTGAAAACTAATTTGAAAAAATAATGAACAAAAACTTCCCTAATTCGTTGAAGGAAATAGACATACAAGTCCAGGAAGCATAAAGAGTCCCAAACAAATTGGACCCAAAGAGCACCACACGAAGACACATCATAATTAAAATGCCTAATGTTAAAGATACAGAGAAAATCTTAAAAGCAGCAAGAGAAAGGCAGATAGTTACCTACAGAGGAGTTCCCATTAAGACTGTCAGATAATTTCTCAAAAGAAACTTTTGAGAGAGGCTAATGGTATTGGCAAGAAGTAGTCAAAGTGATGAAAACCAAGGACCTGCAACCTAGATAACTCTATCCAGCAAAGCTATCATTTAGAATTGAAGGACAGACAAAGTGCTTCCCAGACAAGATAAAATTAAAGGAGTTCATCATCACTAAGCCCTTATAATATGAAATATTAAAGGGAATTATACTAGAAAGAAAAAGATAAAAACTATGAACATTAAAATGGCAATAAATTTACAATGATCAACAATTGAATCTAAAAGACAAACTAAGCAAGGAAGCAGAACAGGAAGAGAATCATACATATGCCTGTCATTTGGAGGGTTATTAGCTGGGAGAGAGAAGAGGGAGAAACGGAGATAAGGGTCAGGGATTAAGAAGTACAAATTGGGGCCAACACGCTGCAGGGAAGGAATGCAGCAGGCAGAAAACTTGGAAAGAAAAGAGCTGTGATCCATCCCTTCCACTACAAAAGTGTGCCAAGACAAAAAAAAAATGGCTCAAATGGAAGAACAGATCAAAGCTCCAGAACAAATACAACTAAGCAATAAAGAGATAGCCAACTATTAAATGCACAGTTCAAAACAGTGGTAATCAGGATGCTCACAGAATTGGTTGAATATGGTCTCAAATTAGATGAAAAAATGAAGGCTATGCTAAGTGAAATGAAGGAAAATGCACAGGGGTCCAACAGTTACAGGAAGAAAACTGGAACTCAGATCAACGGTGTAGACCAGAAGGAAGAAAGGAACATCCAACCAGGAAAAAATGAAGAAACAAGAATTCAACAAATTGAGGAGAGGCTTAGGAACCTCCAGGACATCTTTAAATGTTCCAACATCCGAATCATAGGGGTGGTACCAGAAGGAGAAGAGGAAGAGCAAGAAATCAAAAATTTATTTGAACAAATAATGAAGGAGAACTTTCCCAACCTGACAAAGGAAAGAGACTTCCAGGAAGTCCAGGAAGCTCAGAGAGTCCTGAAGAAGTTGGACTCAAGGAGGAACACACCAAGGCACATCATAATTACATTAGCCAAGATGAAAGATAAGGAATCTTAAAAGCAGCAAGAGAGAAGGAGATAGTTACCTACAAAGGAGTTCCCATAAGACTGTCAGCTGATTTCTCAAAAAAGACCTTACAGGCAAGAAGGGGCTGGAAAGAAGTATTCAAAGTCACGAAAGGCAAGAACCTACATCCAAGATTACTCTATCCAGCAAAACTTTCATTTAGAATGGAAGGGCAGATAAAGTGCTTCTCAGACAAGTTCAAACAGTTCATTGTCACCAAGTCCTTATTGCATATTATGTGAAATGTTAAAGGGATTTATCTAAGAAAAAAAGATTAAAAATATGGACAGTAAAATGACAACAAACTCACAGTTATTAACAACCACACCTAAAACAAAAATGAACTAAGCAAACAACTGGAACAGAAACAGAACCACAGAAATGGAGACCACATGGAGAGTTATCAGCAGGGGAGTGCGAGGAGGAGAGAGGGGGAAAAGGTACAGAGAATAAGTAGCATAAATGGTAGGTAGAAAATAGACAGGGGGAGGTTAAGAGTAGTATAGGAAATATAGAAGCCAAAGAACTTATGTGTATGACCCATGGACATGAACTAAAGCGGGGGCTGGGGGGAACGTGGGTGGGAGGGGATGTGCAGGGAAGAGGGGGATAAAGGGGGGAAAATGGGACAACTGTAATAGCATAATCAATAAAATATATTATTTTTAAAAAGTACAAATTGGTAGGTACAAAGTAGAAAGGGGGATGTTAAGAACAGTATAGGGCATGGAGTAGCCAAAGAACATGTATGCATGACACATGGACATGAACTAAGTGGGGGATTGCTGGAGGGAATGGACATACCAGTCAGGGTGGGAAGCAAAAGGGGAAAAAGTGGGACAACTATAATAGCATAATCAATAAAGTATATTTTAAAAAATCAAACACCTGTTACTCTTTCATTCTGGTTCATGTATATAATATTTTTCTGATACTAAACATAGTGTTAAAAATTTTTACAGTAAATTTTTGGTTGTCTAAATGAGACTACATTATATGGAAAAAATTTTTAGTATGAGAGAGTTGAGCTCATTTCTTAGGGAAAATACATATGTAGTTTTCTTTTTCAGTATGCATCATTGTTTTGCTTAAATTACAGTATAAAAATAAGCAATATAAAGTAAATGTAATAACTTTGCTAAGGAAGCAACCTGAACAAACCTTCCTTTTATTTATTGTTCTTTCTAAAACCCTGATCTAGATTTGGAGGCTGATATGTGGAAGAATAATTTGCCTTGATTTGAAAGATACTTTCTGCAGTAGTCTGCTTATTTATAATTTTAGGATATTTGAAAGAAGATATGGAAGCAGAAAATTCGCAGTAAGTTTTTATGTATTTTTCCCTTTGCTATCAGGTTATAGGAAAACATTTTTGTTTTTTATTGTATTCAAATAGTTTTAGTTTGTTATTATTAGCAATTGTCTTTTAATTACATGATCCTCTGTCTGAATTGAAACATAGACATTAACCAAAGAAAAATTTTAAATTTAAGCCACTGGCATAATAAAATAATAATGATGATGATGATGATAGATAATGGCAGGTATGAGTAGGTAATGACAATTTTAATTAGGATTTTGACTTTAATAAAATTCAAATCACTTATTTTGCTTAATGGTTTGTGCATTACTTGTTAAAAATAAATTTTGCTATAAATATCTTTTTTCAATGTACCTAGAAATTGTGGAAGTTAATTTGACCAATGTAGTTTTATTCTCTCATTTTGAAAAGTCTATTCTAATAAAAACAAATATGTGTGTATATTTACACACACACACACACACACACACACACACACACACACACACACACACGTCTGTCCAAAAAGTATCTGGCCATGCAATATGAGAAATAGTGACATTTATTGAACAGGATACAAGAAACATTGTACATAGGATAATGACTCTTCAGTCCCCTTCAAAGTAGGCACCTTGGGACTTCTTACAGTTTTCCCAGTAACCATTTGCTGCCCCAGCATATTCTCCTGAATCTCCTTAATGGTCTGAAATTCTTCCCTTTCAAGGGTGATTTCAATTTTGGGAAAAGCTGGAAGTTGCAGGGCACCAAATCTGGGTTGTAGGGAGCCTAAGTCACCTGGGTGATTTGATTTTTCTCCAAAAAACTCAATAGGAGATGTGATACAAGAGCGGAAGCATTGTTGTGATGAACCTGCCAATCACCAGTTGAACCTGCCAATCACCAGTTGCAGCCTTCTGAATCATCTAAGCAGTTTCTGTTGAGGAATGTTCAAGCTTAATGCAAAATTTGATGCAGATTTGTTTCTCCACTCGTTCAGTCATTTTGAATGTGATGGCCACACAGTATACATGCTCACTCAGTGGCATCTATCACCACCACTGACTAGAACAGAGAAGTCATCATTGTTCACACATGCACAGTCCAGTCCACTGGCTTTGGCTGCCAAATTACATTGATGTTGCATAAACTGTTCTCATTAAATTAAAAATGGCTGGCCTTTTTTTGGACAGGCCTTTGTATGTATGTGTATACATATACATATACATACATACACACACACATTGGCTCTAAGTAAATGATGGTTTATTTTTAGAGACTTCTCTGTATAATGTTTTGTTTTATTTTTAGTCCTTTTTGCTGGGTTCCTGGGTTTTGTCAGCCTTGCTCGACTTCATCCTTGTTGAAACTGCATGGTATTGCTTTGGTATCTCTGCATCCCGGAATTTGCCTTCTGGATTGTAAGTAGCTCCCAAAGATTAGTTTACTTTATAACTAATTAAATCTGATCTAAGGTGTTATTGTAAGTCAGTAAAAGAATATTTTAAACTTTTAGGTACAGTAAAATTGATTTTATGTGTAAAATTTTATTGTATACTTACATTTTCATTGTGTTCTTGAAACAGAATGTATTTTACACTCATTCTTTTTTCATCTTTGAATTCCTATATTTTAGAGAATTTTTAATGAATTTTCACTTCTCTTTCTGAAGATGAAATTAATTTTATATGTTTATTTTATAGTGAAATTTTGTTTTGTAATTTTGTGAACCAAATGCAAAAATACAAAGTTTAATTAGATTGTATTAGGGAAAAATGTATTTGATATTAAGTTTCTGAAGAAGGATGTTTTTAAAAATTGATATTGTTTCTATACTTGCACCAAAGATAAAATGAGGTCAGTATATAGGTTACAATATTTTAACCAACCTATAATAGCCAACCTAACTCAAAGTGTATGTGCTTTCATATTGTGTTGATCTTTTTTGAAACAAACAAACAAAACAACACACCATGTATCAGTTTATGAAATATCTGGTATCTAGGAGCAGAGTTGTTAGCATGTGTAAATGACCTTAAAGTATCTCTGATTAAGTATTGGAGACTGTGTTTGAGAGACACTTTGAAATTAAGATTCCAGATATATAAAATTCTGTGTGTACTAATTTCATCTTTTTTAATTTTGAACTTGTGTTTTTGAAAACTGTTAGGCAATTGCATGTATCTTGAGTCAAATTCACTTTGGATCTCTAGTAAAAATATAGTTAGTAATCTAATAGTGTTCACATCACATTGTTGATATTTACATCATAGCTGTCCTTTATGAGATTTACTTCATTATAGTTGGCAAGAGTGTTGACCGTTAGCTGTTTTAATAATGTATGATTGTGAATAATAATGGAATAGAGACAAAGATCTGTTACAATTATCATGAAGTTTTTGCTGAGTTCCATAGGTTGTAATTGTAATGAGACCAAGAAGTTGACTATTCTGCTACTGTGAAAAATACTGTAGTCATCAGGAGTGATTTCATGTTGATTCAGGAAGGCAGCAGCTTTACTAAATCATGGATTTTTCCCAAACATTTCTCATCCAGCCCAATTCTTTTTAGTGTTCTATAAGACCTACTGAGTTATACAGTATATATGTTACATGTGAGTTTGAAATTTTGGACATGGGTAGTAACATAGCTTTTAATTCTTATTTGCGTTGTCCTTTTTTTTTTCTATTGTACATAGAGTTGAATGGCTGTTACTTTTTTAGAGAATCCTGTTAACTGCTGGTACATATGAAAAGGATTGATTTAGTTTTAAAGCTGGGAATATTTTTATTCTTAAAACAGGAAGGTATTTACATATTTGCCTTAGTTCATAGCAAGTTGCAAAGTGGAGTAAATTAAAAACTTATAGGCTCCCCTTTGAAAGACAGTATCAATATTAATTCAGCCATTCCCTGAATAAGAAAGTATTTCTTTCCTTTTCAAATCATGAAACATGAGAATATGCTTTTTATAATCTTGAAGCTTTCTCAAACATAGACTTCTTAGCACATAAATCTTTACTTCAATAAAGAAGCTCTGCATTTTGTAAATATAACTTCTATTTGATGATAGCAAAGCTTCAAAAACTCAATAGAGGAAACTACTTTCTTTTTTTTGGCCAACGTGCTTTAAAATTTGCAGTTTTTTCACATAAACATCTGTTACTTTTTCTGTCCTATCAGTGCCAAATTTATCTGCTCTATCTGTAATTCTTTACTTCCTATTTAATTCTCTCTTCCTTTTTTTTAAAACCTCACCACTCTTAAAACTTCTCTTATAATCTCATCAATATCCAACTAATTTCTAAAGCCAATGGCTTATTTTCTGTTGTCTTAGTTGACCTTTCAATAGTACATTAAATACTTTTGACCTTATGTTATTTCATGAAAAAACCTGCTCTCTTTAGTCCTAGCACACTACTCTCTCTTGGTCCTTTTTGACCCTATTTACTATCCATAGTTCTTTTCTGAAGCTTATTTCAAGTACTTTCTCTGAGCTTTCTTGTCCACTTCCATGACTTCAACTACAATTAACATCTGTCGTTTCCCAACTCTATTTCCAGTCCCTATTAATCACTGATCTTTCTGGAGCCATGTTTCCTAATGACTTGTAAGACTCAAAGAAAATTCACAATGTTCAGAAGGTCTCATCCCTTCTGATCTCTGCTCTTGCTGTATTCTCATCCTTTCCTCCTGTATTCATTTTAGTTAATGGCATTTCCATCTTGAAATGCCAATTTCACTTGAAATCTCCCTATTCTCATCATTATAGTAGTGTACCAAATCTTATAATTCAAAGTCTTATATAAATTATTTATCCCATCTTCTCCACTTCTGTCATTATCTCAGTCTAAACTCTAATCTTTTTTTGCCTAGATTTTTGTAGTAATTCTCTAACCAGTCTATCAATTCCAAAGCATTCCATGCCAGTGTTACCAGAAATTATTTCTAAAGTACAAGTTTGACTATGCTAATCTTCCTTTCAAAAACCTTTAAATCCTCATTTTCTTCAGAATAAAAAGTAAACTCCTCCAAGATGGTACCTAGGCAGTATAGAATAGTGGGAATGGCATAGGCTTTGCCATCAGAGCAGATTTGAGATTACAGTTCTGCTATGTATTACTTATATATGATCTTGAGCAAATCACTTCTCTCAAGTTCCATTTCCTGAGCTCAATTTGTAGATGACCCTCAGGTGTTAATTGAGGATCATAGTCTATACTTCACAGGGCTGTGGAGAGAATCAAATAAGCTCACTTATGCAAACATCCTACTAGAAGCATACCCCCTATATTTTGGTTTTCTTTCTTCCCTTCAAAGCCCTTATAGTTTGACCCCAATCCAGTGTTCTGCCACTTCCCCATCAGTAATTGAGCTTTTAGTACATTCTATGTATTTGTATTCTCATGCTTACTTGGTTTTCTTTCTGTACCCTGTCATCCTTTTGTAATATCAATTGCCCTTTTATGTATATTCCAACAAATTTAAGACCCCTGTTAGCATTTATTACATTGCATTTTCATTATCATTATCTGGGCCTTCTATGCCACCCTTCTGTCTCTTTGAGAACTAGTTTGACTTCATGAACTCATTGCCTTTCTTTTAGTCATATGGGAGGGATGGCCTTGATTACCGTATAGCCCCATAATGACTGTGTGCTTTACATAGAAATTATACCTGGCCTCTGATAGATTCTCATGACTGTCACTTGAAATTCAGAAAAAGTAACCATTAGGTTTTGACATTAAAGATAGCTCCATTATTAAAAGACACACACACACACACACACATGCACACACATATATAGTTTGATTGTTTTACAAATAATTATTTGTTTAAAGATATTTATTAAAGTATCTTGCTTCCTTGAGTATTCACAGGAAAAACTTTAGGTAGTTTTCTCTTTGTTGAGAAACTGCATCTCAGTACCACCTTGAGTCCTTTATCTTATGTAGCTCTGGGAATGTTTACATTCTGTAAGTTTGACTACTTTTTATCATTACAAAGTTGGCAATTGACATGAGAAGAGAACTGAATTTGGTTTTTAATCCTGGTTCTTTAGCTGAGCAGGTCACCTAACCTCTTTGGACCTTAGTTTCTTTATATTTAAAACAGGTCATCTAAGGGACTTTCTAGCACTAAAATACTGTTTTATCATTAGGGTTCTTTGTGTTTATTTTTGTAAAGATTATGAATTTACCCAACTTAATTATAGAAATCAATTTATGGCCAGTGCATTGGTTTGATTCTAAGTCTCATTGGGAGGTGATCATGTTAAGAGTAATAAAAGTGATTTAACAGAGAGGAAGTTATAGGTGACTCATTTGTGTATTTTTGTAATATTTAGAATACAGGCTTTATAGATTATAGTTCACTTTTTCTTTTTAAATGAAGTTACTTAGGGGAAATTAAATGGTAAGATCCCTGACTAGTGCTATTTATACTGTGACATATGACCTGGAAAAAAAATCAGTTGTTTTTATAATGTGATATTTAATCACATAAGAAGAGCAAACTCTTTATATTGGATAAAGATATTTCACCATATAGTAGAAACCTCATGTCATAGGAAGAAACTTGGATTTGGGGACAGAAATAAGATCTCCGGTTAGGTTTTCCCCGTTGATTTTAAGTAGGGTCTGGTGCTTGTACGCTCTCAGTAATTGTTTATTGAATGACTACAGCCTGTTTCCAAAAGAAAATGAATTCAGAGTAGGGGAAGGCTAATGGCCATGGTCTCTATAGGCTCCTCCAAATGCTTGTTTCCACTAATTTTGCTCTGCAGTAAGTAACAATGATGAGTTGAACATAGCTGTTTTTGTAAGGATCTTGGAAGTTTGGCTTAGAACACAGAATGTTGGGTTGCTCACCAGTCCTGAGTATACATTAAGCTAAAGGGACCTGTATCTACATGGAAAATACTTTCATCAAATTATTTTGAACAGTAGCAGAATTTTTTTGCCTACTGACTTGATTAATATCATGATTCACTTGCACATAGAATTAAATCCAAAAAGCTAAGTCAACTGTGTATTTAGATAAGACTTGAATATGAAACACAAATTGCATGTTTTCTCCTAATACCTCAAAAATGTTCTAATCAAATTTTTAAAATAAAAGTAATGAATTTATTAGAATACTTCAGAATGTTTAATTATGTTGCCAAAATAAAATCCCACAAAATAGTTTGTAAAGCTTTTTTTTTAAGAAGAAAAGGGACTTCTTAATGTACAAAATATCCAGTGATTCTAGGGTGATTAGTTAAGTGAATTTAAGGATATTGAAGACGAAAAATTTATTCATAACATTTCACTGTTTATGTTGCTTAGTGACCGTAAACTACCTGATCGGAAACTTTTTCTGCGCACACTTCGAAGGTAATTGCGGTATAGCATGACACTAATGACGCGAGCCTGAAATTGTTTCGAAACAATGTAGTACAGAATCACATCCAGACAGGTACTGAGGTTCATGAGGAAGGTGGTAAAAGCTCCCCAGGGATTGTAACTGTTCTCGTCCCCATCCAACATCAGGACAGCGAAACAGATGTGGAAAGGCACAAAGCAAATGAGCACCTGCACCATGAGTGTGATGATGATCCTTATAGACTTCTCCTTGACTTTTGGTTTCAGCTTAGATGTCCTACCGTGAAGGAGACTATGAATAATGACCAAGTAGCACCCAATCATAATAAACAGAGGAATCAAGAAAAAAAATGTCAGTCGAGTGAAGTTCAGTATGTTAATAGCTTTTAAGTGGATGATGTCAGAAATCTTCAGGCAGGTGGCAGGGATGGAGGCTTTATCTGGGTCTTCATAAAGCAGTAGCAGTGGGATGGTGGTTACCAGTGTCATTATCCAGACTCCCACACATGCTAGCACGGCTTTGCATGTTTTTTTAAGTTCTTTGGCATATTTTGGCTGCACAATAGCCATGTATCTGTCAGCACTAATAAAAGCAAGAAGCCATAGGGCAATACTTGGATAAAACATCGTGAGTGCCCCAAGAATCTGGCAGAAGTACTCTCCAAATGGCCATTCACCTTTTGCATAGTAAAACATTTTAAAGGGTAAGCTCATTATAAATATTAGGTCCAGTAATGCCACATTCATCATATAGATGGTTACAGTGGTTCTCTTCTTGGTGGTACAACTGAAAACCCATAAGGCAGTGACATTAACAAATAATCCAATTATGAAGATACAGCTGTAGAAGACAAGGGCTGCAATTTTGTATTCATCTGGATATGAGCTGTTAGAAGAACCAGGTTGAGCTTGATTGTGAAATGTAGTCATCTTACAGTTTGTTGGTGGGCATAACACTTGGGAACTGTAAAATAGTTAAGATTAGGAGGAATAAAACTCTTTGCTGAAAAATAAATGTTTAGCATCCTCATACTTGGCGTGCAGTGGATTTTAATTTTGAGAGTATATATATTTTTATATTATAGAGTCAATATGTATGTCTTAGTATTTATTAATAAATACTTTTCCTAGGTATTATTACTAATCTGTGCTAATCTATTAAAGTGGTATGGTATGTCATAATGCATTGGCAGATTTACTCATTTTCTCTTTTCTTCTTACTTCTTTTCTCCCCCAAAGAATGACTTTTATGATATCTTTCCTATAGTGTGAAATTGGGTACCTGTTATTCCTACAATAAGCATTCTTTGATTAGGACTAATTAGGGAAAGTCCATTCTGAATTTTGAATCTTGCTATAAAGTTTACCACTTCTTATCATCTTCATTCTGTTTAAATATTTCATAATCCAGTTTAGTAATATCAAATAATGAATTTTTACTTATTAAATATAATTTTAATGTATAAAATGCCTATTATAAAGCTAACAAAAGAACCATATAACTGGTTAATTACTGAATAGTCACAGTAATTCTCATTTGAGATCAGGAACTTTCCCTTTTCACTGGTATATCCCATTGCCTATTGAGTAAGTTGTAGATATTCAAAAGGTAAACATTTACTGAATGGTAGATGAGTCTACCATTCGCTGGAAGGAAGGTGAAGTGACTGACCTAAAGAAACTACTCTCTAGTTTGTCAATGAAGACTTGCTTAGTTAGCCATGAAACCTTTTTTTTTAAGTAGTAAATACTTTTTCATAGTATTACGTTCTCTAAACTATCATAGGTCTAAAAACATCAGTGTCTTGTGCCATGGTCTATAGATTAAGAACTTTACTCTTAGAACAATAGATGAGCTGGATTCTAATGGATAATTGAGGTGTCTAATGCTGAGTCTTCCAGGTGGTGTTTACCTGTGTCTTAGAAACAGATTTCACTGTTGCAATAGTGCGCAGAAAGTAACACCTTGAGAATGAGATACTGTTAGTATAGTAATTTTCATGTCCTCATTCTACCTAGATAAGAATTGTAAGTATTGTTTCTCAAATTAAATTTTAAAAAGGAGTATCAAACAGAAGTAGTTGTTAGTAAGATGTCACTCAATAACTTTATGTGTATGCGAAAATTAATTCCCATTACCAAAAACGTTCATTTCTAATTTAGAGGAGTTTAATGATTGTATATATCATTGATCCCTCTCAGTGTGAAACTTTCATCACCCATGATGCAGTACTAACCCCAGTGATTTTAAAAATAGAGTCACTACAAAGAGATGGAACCTTGTGGCATCCCCCTGAAATATGGAGGTGTAAGAAGAGTTTCCTTCAAAAATGTCACTTTGCAGAGTGGGCTGTCTCTAATTCAGCCTTGTGGGTGAGGTTAGCAGTGTGGTCTGTGGCATCATGGGCTGTTGATAAATTAAAAATAATTTGAGCAATTGCTGTGGACAAACACATGATAGGAGTTTGTTTTTCCCTTCCTTCTTCTCTTCTTTCCTTCCTTCCTGATTGCAGCTAATTTGCCAAATATTTAGGTTAAATTTGATTTTGCAATATATTTCTATATATTTGAAAGCCTGTATTAATTAAAAGTTCCAAATATCGACTTGACTGGAATATTTCTATCAAATGAGAAAAGTGCTACAGAGAAAAATCTTCAGTATCATACAAAGGAGAATAATTTTGGAGGCTTGACTATTTTTAACTTTAAGTTTATTTTTAAATAGTAGCAATTGAATAGTAGCAGTAGTAATTGAAGATTTGTAACCTTTTTCCTCTTTTTGTACTGTATCAGGACTCCCTTCACCCATCCTCATTCCGAAATTATGTCACATAAATTCTGTACTTACAAACCATTTTTGAATAAATCTCTTTCCCCCCTCATTGGGCTCAAACTGCTTGTATGTCACCAACACCTTGTATTCATTTGCTTAAGTTTGAAAAAAAATATGCCTGATGCATGTGTTTTAAAGGCATTGTCAGTATAGGTTGTGCCGTGCACAGAGAGAAATTTTTGAATAAATATTGAAAAGCGATTGGCTTTCAAGCCATCATTTTAAAAGCTCTTGATTCCATGATTACCTATAGTCTTTCTTTTCTTAAAAACCTTTAAGTACATTTGTGAAGTAATGTAATTTAAACCAAGTGATAACTCTTAAATATGCTTATAATTTATCATATCAACATTTTCTTGAAGTTGAAAAAACTACATTTACCATTAATGTAAAACAATATTGAAAATAAATTTAAAAATCATATTCATAATGCAGGAAGGTAACAGCATCTCATTTCAAGGTTCTTCACCACATGGTTTCAGTAATGTGTTACTAAAATAAAATAGTGCTTTTGCAATTTAGTAAGTACAACATTACTACTGATAATCTTTGAAGTTAATTAAATGCGACTTACCTCCTGTCCATCAAAAGGCTTTACTAGACAGGAACATTTTTCAGTATATCCAGTTCTGTAAAAGAGATATCTTTGAGTTTCTTCTCTTTCTTGAAATAGTATATTTAAGAAACGGTGTATTTGTTTCTTTTAGGCTCTTCTGGTGCTTTAAAACATTGTTTCAAATATTCTCGGTATAAGAGTTGGTTCTAGTTGCAGCTTTGTCTCTTTCAGGAAGTACTCTCTGAAGGCTTTTTCAACTTCTGGACTGGATGTGGTTTTTCTCTTTCACAAATGATTTGTTTATGAAGTTATGCTCAACATAAGCTTCCCCTGAAATGATGCCATGTATTTAACAGAATCATACAAAAAGGAAAATGTCTTCAGTGTTTAACTTTGATGCTTTAAGTCTGTATTATCTATTGAAGGGATATGAGATTTGATGTTGACTAGATTGAGATTCATAGTATAGCTTCTTTATTTTTTAAGCTATGTGACTTTCTAGTTACCTGCCCACTCTGAGCCTCTGTTCCTACTTTGTTTCTATAGTTAAAACAGAGATAATACCCATATGATAGCATTGTGAGAACTTGAAACCAGAAAAATCCCAAATTTAACATAATACCTGGCATTTAGGTACTCCTAAACAGAGTTAACTCTTTACTACAAAGTTCCTAAAATCACAGAATATCTACTTTTTACTATTAAGACATTTTTAAATGGTTAAAATTGGAATCCTCAGTTATTTGCCTCTGCTTTGCATGTACTTATATACTTTAGTTTGCTTTATTTTTTAAGTTCCCAGTGATTTATATCACTTTTCCATCACGTAAAAGCCTAGAAATAATTTCTTTTGCATAAACATCCCTGCAAATTGCTAAGCATGGACTCTGGAAGTCTTCAGTGGAATAATTTACATATTAGGAGTGTTTTAACTTAAGAAGGGAAATGAAACCAATGGAAAGGGAAGTGAGCAATGCCAATCATTGCCTACCTAGTTATGTTACACTTTTTACTTTCTTTTTTAAAAAAATCATCTTATGTGTTTGTCCTAAAATTTTACTTAACTTTATATTTGGTTATGCATGACTTACAAGTTTTAAAAGATACGTGAACTGAAGCGAATTGTTTTTTGAATCTAAAACAATTTGAAAGTCCGTGGGTTTTTTTTTTTTTCCTCAGACAAAACCATGGTTAGTCTTTGATTTAAAAGTTATTTAAGATCCTTGCCCTTGGTAATTAAGTACTTTTGATTGTGCTAGCCTTCTAGAATAATGGGTTTTTAGAAGTGTTGGCAACAGTCAAGCAACTGTTTCTTGTATAGATGAGGATTTGAGGCCAATGTAAGGCCACGACTGCAGAAAAACTCAGACCACCAAGCCCAGCTTCTTCAGGTGCTGAATTCTTTCCATTTCTGCCCTAGCTGCTGTAATAACTTCTCATTAGGAGGTGATTACATTGATTTATTCACTAGATAGAGTTTATTCATTGCCAAATTACATGAATCAATTTTTTATACATGGAGTTATATTTCATATGCAGTATAGGAGAGTTTGATATTTCAGCTGGTGATAGGAACCTCTTACCTCTTTAATCTTTTCATTGCCTTAATTTCATCTGTCCTGTGACGTTTCTGAAATTAAGTATTGATTAGTGTCCCCTGGGGTGCTAATATCAAGAGATAGAGTCTTTTATCACACACAGCCAGATTCTTTTTTTTGACCTCCCATTCTATCAGAGGAAGGCAACAAGGGGCAAGTCAGGAAATCCCCATAGGCACAGCTTGAGGGTGGATCAGCTGTTACTCCTTTCCTACCTTCTGCATTTGCTCTTCTTTGCCTTTCACATGCTGTTCCAACCGGTAACATTCCTTACCACTGCACTGCCATGTCTTGTCTTGGCCAGCCACTACTTATCCTTAAGGTTTTAGTTTAAAGGATGCCTTTTCCAGGAAGTTTTCTCTGACTTCTGAAGCTGGATTGGTTATTTATTTCTGTAAGTTTCCTTAGTAGTTGATAGTTATCCTCATAGTGGCATGTGTTTGCATTATTATTGCATATTTACATTTACTTGCCTTTTATCCTATAGTAAATTGAGGTCCTTGAGGGTTGGCGTGCATTGTATATGTATGTGTATAACAGATTTTTAATAAATATTGCTTGACTGTGTGATTGGAAAAGTAGGTAAAGAAATGGAGGGTTGAGGGAGTCATGGATGAATTAGCCAGGTGTCAGCCAGGTGTCAGCATCAGGGACACTTTGACCAGCTTATATGAGGGAACTGCCAGTCATAAATCATATGTGGAAACTTAGGCAAGGGGATCAGGGGGAAGGGACCTTTCTCTCCTTTCCATAACATTATTCTCTGTGTTCCTGGTTCTTCACAGTAATTTTTTGTTGAAAAAGAATTTCAGTGAAAAAAGTCTTCCCCAAGCTGTTTGGCAGCAAATTTAACAGTGGATCAAGAATTAAATGTTTGTAGTGTCTGGTTTACTTCTTTAATACTTGAACCTAATGAATTTTTATTCAAATAGAAGAACTTGTTCAGAGATATTCATGCAGCTTTAATTTCTTAACTTATTTTGGAATATGAGGGAAAGAAATTTTCACCTTGTATAAGAAACCCATAAATATTTCCAGGGGCTACAGAGTTCCTTTCACTTTATGAAATAATCTGTTTTAGCTTTAGTTTGAATTTTGGTTTAGATGTTAAAGGCCCTAAGGGACTTTTCATTTTAGTACTTCAGCCCTGTTGGAGTGAACATAAAAATAAATTTTAGTTAAGGCAATTTGGTAATTTTTAGAAAGGATGTAGTTAATAGATATACACAGTAAATCCTCGTTATAAAACATGCTCCTATGTTAGATATTTATTTGTGCCACAGATAAAATTATATATAAAATTATATTTCCCATTCTTGACATATTTTTCTTTACCACAGCAAGTGGAAGTGGGGGCATATGCCAGTTCCTCGCAAGAGTGTTGTGATGAGAAGATCCCTGTAGTTCCTATTTTTGTTTCCCAGCATGGGTGGTTAGCCAGCAGAGCACAAGTTCAGAGTGGTTGGTACACAGCCAGTCCCCAGAAAGAAGAGGGGATGAGGGAAATGAGGAGTGCTCCAAACTAGGATGAGATTCTTATCATTTTGCCTTAAGGTCTTGTACCTTGATGTTATTAGAATCTTGCCCTGGAACTCTCTCTTACTCAAACTTGTCTCTAAACTGAAGGCGTTTTTTTTCTTTCAAGGGAAGAGATGTGTTGAATGGTGGTGTCTAGATAAGGAAAACTGAGATACGCTTTTTCTAAATGTGTTTTCTTAAAAAGAAATCTCAGCAGCTTATAACTATAATCTTATAGCCAAGTTAGTATGAACCTTCTGTACACTTGACTTCCTAAACTGTATTATAAATTTAGCAATTCCCCAATTCTTTTACCTTGGCAATTTTGTACAGTTTTAAATATTTACAGACATATAGACAATTAGACTGTTGTTAACCTTACAGCAAACAAGTTGAACCCAGATAACCAAAGTAATAGATAATTTTAGTTAATCTAGATCTAAATTGACAATGAGAGTAGAGTTTCCTAAAGATATTAAAGATTTGCTCACAGGATCTTAGGAGAAAGCTTTTACATAGCAGTGAAATCAGTCACTGCTATCAGTGGAGTCACTGAAATCCTCCTATAGGACCCTAGGCCAAGAGTTTGCACTGTGACATTTCATTAATTGACTAGAGATCCAGAGTCTCCAGGAGGGCTAAGTAGAACTCTCTGGGTGTTGGGATGTACATGGTCACCTCCTGAAGATTCTGATCTCACAGTTAAAGTGTCGCTATCTTGTCTCAAAAGGATATATATATATATATATATATATATATATGTAAAATTCCTCATAACATATTATATATAACATATATATTATAAATAATATATATATTATATTATGAGGAAGTAATGTGGGGAAGTAGTTTAGAAGAAAAGTATTGTGGAGAGTCAAGATTGGTAAAGAAACAAGAGATATGTTATTGACTTACTTAAATCCAAACCTGTATACTAGTGTGTTTGAGTATTTTAGAATACAGGCATCTGTAAACTAAAAAGTAACTACATATTTATGTAGTTGAAGATTGTTGGTTTAAAAAGAATTACTTAGGATTTTTTCTACAATATTATCTCTGCTGTTACTCTTATCTGTATTTATTAGAGGTAATTAGAGGTGAATAATCATCAGGCAGAGGTCTAAATGCTTTAAATGTGTCATTAAATTTAATCTTCATGCCAACAACAAAGTATGTTGAGGACACAATAGTGTATTGATGGTGTAATGCAGAGATATTTACTCATGATTCTCAGATCCTGTTATTGTGTTTTACTCTTTCTGTATTATGGTATTATAGTTTGTTTTAGTAGTATTTGTTGAAGTTGGTAGTACTTAATAGAGAATCATCAGAATAGTAATTTGATCTTCAGCAAAAAGTTTCCTGAGGGACTAGATCATCCTTTCCTTCCCCTGTTCCTCACTAATGAGTTATTCCCAAGTAAAGGTTTGGTAGCTGTATTCTGTCAGCCTGTAAATCTAATTTTGGTGCTTAGGAAGATCTCTGCCATTCAGTGGGCCAAAGGCTTTTAAGCACTTAAAAATGAGTATATCCAAATGGTTGGTAAGCATGTAAGTATGCTCATAAGTAATTAAGTTAACAAAAATTAAAACCATGGTAAGACATTACTACCCACACACCAGAATGCCTACAATGAAGAAGACTGACAGCATAAAGTGTTGGATATAGCCCTGGCTGGCATAGCTCAGTGGATTGAGCGTGGGCTGCGAACCAAAGTGTTGCAGGTTCGATTCCCAGTCAGGGTACATGCCTGGGTTGCAGGCCATGACCCCCAGCAACTGCACATTGATGTTTCTCTCTCTCTCCCCCACCTCTAAAAATAAATAAATAAAAAAAATCTTTAGAAAAAGTTGCTCAAAACCAATAAAACAAAATAAAAAAAAAACATCCCCCCCAGAAAAAAAAGTGTTGGATATAGATCAGTGAAGGCAGTCTTGTGCATTGCTGGTGGAATGTTTGAATTTGGGAAATAGTTGGATATTAAATACTACAGTGAAGACGTACATGTCCTATGATTCAGATTTCACTCCTAGAAGTAAATGCATATTCCTTTGCAGCAAGAGACATAGATAGGAATGTACATAGTAGCATTATTTCCGTAACTCCAAATTAGGAACAACCCAAATGTTCAGCAAC